GTACCCGGAGCCGACGACTCAACAGTCTGACCTGCTCGGTTGCAGGGGGGGCGCAGGGAATAAGGCATTACTGTCTCATTCCTGATGCGGCTGCGCACAGCAGGTGCCTTTTGAGCAGCACCGGGCTCTTTGGTTTTAAAAGTATTTCGACCGTGTTGGATAATGCACCGGCGGTCACGGCCAACCGTTGGGCGATCGCAGTGTGCGGTTTTTGGGGCCGACCTTTTCTAACCCGTCCTTCCTGGGGGGAAGGGAGCAACGCTGCTTCCATGAATATGGACATGCTGGTCGTCTGGGGGAAACACCTTACTGCCTTTACACTCCTATCGCAGAGGGCAGTACGACTTTACCCCCAGACCGCCTCGTAGCACGATTACTCGTAGTATGGGGTCTCGTTGCTCTTGGTTTGACTGATCCCCTCTGGCCTTCCTGGCATGCTTGCATTTTGTGGAACGAAGTTCCAGCTAGTGTAGCCCGCGGAATCATTGCAGCACTGAAGCCCGACCACCACGTCAAGGTGGCAGCTTTAGGTCGGGGTATGTCTGCAAGCGACCGAACGAGACCACCAGATGCCTAACCCAACGGATATAAGCAAGGTGTACTGCATACAGAAAAGAACAGAATGCGCGCTTGCAAGTTAATTACCACGTTTGGCGAACTGATCAACCACCATCTGACCAATCACCGGTTGCATATATTTTTACGCAATAAAAGACAATACAACGCGACAGCGTCCAAACGGTATTGGTTATTTTCTTTCATTGAGGAAATACGCATACATATGCGGGACTCAGATAAGGTCAATCAAAAGACAGAGTGGCATGCCCACCCTGTATAAGTATACATAGGGATGGGATCATTGGAAGATTTGATCCCCTTGACACCCAGTTGCATACGTGTATTGTTTGGGGGTGCATTAGTAAGGAGTAAATCCAGGAACAGCGGGGGCGGAATATGAGGTGACGGAGTTAACACATCAGATAGCACGGTATGGATAGCTCAGGTATGGAACGATAGATCGACCGTCTACCAACACACACACACACACACACACACATACCTACCTACCATATCGGCAGTATATGCTTGTGTCCGAGAAATCCATGTTCCGAAAAGTAGGTTGTAGAAAACATCATGGAACCGGCTAACACAAGGTCGGACAAAGTCCCAACATGTTTTCTCTTCTGCCTGACGCATATATGGTTGTTTCTCTGTTCCCAACCTTCAAACGCGGGCTGAAAACACACATAGGTGACTACGGTGCCGCTAAGAACGAAAAATAGTCAGTCCATGTCCATAAATCACTGAACTATTCAACCACAGCGCTCAAAATGGATGCCGTACCAGCTGATTCCCCAGCAATTTCAAGTCACTGACAGCTGTTACTCCCATCTAACGCGGTTCTGACGTTATAACCTACAGCTGAGAGCCGTAAAAGAATTCAGGCCGAGTACTGTTTAGACGCTCATCAGTTTCTTGAGTTGTCTCCTAAGCATAGCCCAGGAGGAATCACATTTTGTCTGACGACAGTAGTGCATAACCGCCTCCTAAGAAATGGACCTTGTAACGAAACAACCTTACTCTTCTAACATGCGAAACAGACCGAAAATGTGGGTATACCTGACCTCGCCAAAGCCCTCTCCAATCGCATCACTCGACTTGTGTCCACCTGTTACCAAAGAAGGAGAGGAAAAAGGAGACCCAAAGGCATTAAGCCGGAAACGAACGAGCAGAGTTCTAGAGCACTTGCTTGTGATATATTTACCGACATTCAGAAACATGCGCGTGAGGTCGCATTCAGAAATTACAGTACAGAAATTACACCAATCTTCATAAACTCTCATGTACTATTCGGCTAAATCCACCTCACAATTTGCGCAATTCTGAAGCAGGCTCGAAGAACAACACTCGTCCCGGCAGACGGTATTTCGGCACCAGTAGCACGTGACTGAAGCCCTACTGTTGATGGTGCTGGATGTGGAACGCGATTGAGGCACTCGCTGCAAAACCAACTACCCGTATTCCAATCACGTTTTTGGTATAAAAACTTGAAGAGGCGTCACATCAACTGTTCGCAGAGGCCATATCCCGCAACCACACAATATAATCCTTACAGTAGCCTAGTACACGCGAGTCTTCAGATCCAGCGATATGCCGTTTTGACACCGCTCGTAACGCAAATCATTGAGGACGCGACTGGGACATGTCTGACAATGTCTCCAACCATCGATATGGCTCGTCTTGGGGTCCCCATCTAGGAAGACGGCAATGACCAAGGCAGCTAAGTTTGCTGGTAATGGCTTTTATGCTTCGCTGCCAAGTCGTTGTTTGACCGCCTCTGGCTCTCTTCCACCCTTCACGTGGTTGTGCGAGGAAGTCGGTCGACTGGCATACACAGTACGTAGCCAAGCCAGCGCAACCTATGTAGTTTTTAGAAGCAGGATGCATACCGAATGACGGTCAGTTTATTCAACAGCCCTTGTGCTTAGCCTTCGTCTAGAAAGATGAGGGTGATCTCGTCCACAGTCCGGATCGAAGAAATACGTTATCGCCAGGGAAGGCACGATCCCAACCGTGTTCTGTGAACCCGTATCTCAAACTTTCACGAACGATTCCACAATTTATTTAGTCCGATCCGGAAAAGCGAGTCAATCGAGGGTCATGTGACCGAGAAATACACAAGCTGAAACTGTAATCATAGTCCGAATTCGTTGCGAGATGTAGGCAATCGGACTGAAGCGTCAACGATCATTTTTTGCGCCCATAAAGCACTGGAAGCAACCTTGAGGTTATTCTGGCTCTATTGACTGTTGCCAAAAAAAGACATCTTTGATGGGTGGTCTTTTTCGATTTAAATCTTCTGCAAGATTGGAAGACACTATGGAATCCCGGGAAGGACAATAGAGTGCCCGAGGCAAAAACTGTTAGATTCACTGGTATTGCAGTCAAAATATTTGAGACTTTTCTAAGCAAACGATACAGACACAGTGGGCCAAAGCATGTCGGATTTCGTCATGGACATAGTTGCACGGACAGAACATTCTGTCCACATTGGAATATCGATTGGAATTCCGACAGCCCATCACAGCATGTTTCGATGAATTCCGAGACATCATCATCATCATCATCATCATCAAAGAGAGCAACATCAATGTTGGCACTGATGCTTCACTGCCGTACAACCATAAAGTTCGTTTAGTTATATATATATATCTATATATANGCCTACACCTCCAACCGCTCAATCATACAATCTGGAAAGAAACTGACAGCACGAACGCCACTGACATCGATTAGCCGCTCTTTCTTACAACGTCTTCAGCCAAGCACAGACGGGGACCCCATCCTGGAAGTCGTACAACACCCAAATTCTCTTTGACGCCTTTCTGCCAGGTTATGTGCTGTCCACCTCGCGGTTTGCGCCGTCCTGAAGGAGGCACGAAGACCAACACTCATCTCGGTAGATGATGTTTCGGCATGCGTAGCATATGACCGAGCCATCGCAGTCAATGATGCTGGATGTTTTCCCGAATTGAGGTGACTGCAGAACAACCAAATACCCGTTTTCTAATCGCCTCGTTACTGATACGCTGACGCCACACAGCTACGCATTCCGAGTCGCCTCCGTTTGGATTCATCGTGAAATACTGTGGACGAAATCCGCAAATCGCATGCAGATTACTGACGCACCAATAAAGGCGCGTGTCACGTTTCAGCTTCGCTACCGCTTGGTTAGCTGGACGCCCTCAAAGAGATACTCAAGTTGGACCCAGAAAATTGGATAGTTGAAATGGTTTGATAACATGCTTCAGTTGGGTGAACACCTGGAAGAATTCTAGTGCTTAACGAATCGGGAAGCTTGCCGTGCAGCATACGCGGGATTATAAATCAACCCGTCAAAGACAAGCTTCCTCCCCATCTGCATGCCTACCAAGACCGGTAAGCGAAGAAACCTACTGTTCTTACACAGCTGGCGTTTTCCATTTCACCCTACAATATGAACTAAACGTCACACCGACAATGTCGCGCATGCCTTCATACAACTGAAAAACTGAGGTTAGTCGAGGCACACAAGTCTGGGTGTCTCACATGCGCGGAACCTACGGGCACAAGATACCCAGAAACTAGAGGTCAGTTACCAGTCGCGTTTCCGACCTATGGGGACTTCGTCATACAGAGGCATGCGATGGAGAAATCTGTAAACGTTGTTAAGGCCATGACAGCGGTTTGGAAATCTGTTGCACAAGAAGGATGCTGAAATGTCCAGATAAAATTTAACCTTTACGCCAGGTTAGTGATGAAGTTGTCCCCTCAAATGGCAACTGGGAACTTAATAATAAAAGTGGTGATAATAATGATTCAGCCGTGGCATTCTTTCGGTTCTTAGCTGCCATGCCATCCGGAAGAAGCCCGAGGCCTGGGATACTGCCAGGTTGTCCAAACCTAGACAGGAACAGCCGAGATGCAGAGGTCAGGAAGTGAAAACTTAGTTCGGTAGGCTTGATGGAACAACTTGGTCTTTACGGCCGTCACCGGAACAAACAGTGATGAGTTACTTTTTGCATATCTGACAGTCTGGACAGTCCTTGTCCAAAACACTCCTGAAGCCAACTGATCCTGTCGCAAGAGAAAGTTTCACTAAATTAAAACAATTAGGTGATTTTGTTGATAAAGCAGTCTATTTTTCAGTTGTTTAGCCAATTAATCAGGCAAAATTTCAAACAGACATGAGAATTAAGCTCTCGGCATAAATAGTAAAGGATCCGATCGGAGCGACGGTTCGGTGACTCATGAGGTTGGCGAAGTCAAGTCAATTTGAACGAACAGAGCGATATCTACCAGTTGCAAGTCTCATGACTACGATATTTGGAGGTTTCCGAAAAGTTCACCTATGCCAGAGCTGCCATCCAGATGAATCAAGTTAGCGAAATTGGAAAATAAATAAAAAAAACGGTAAAAGAGCGACCGAATGCTGCGAAGAAAAAGAAACGGCGATTGATGGCGACAGACCACAGTGCGCAGATAATCCGTCGTTTCTTTGTTACAAATCCTCCATTCTATTAGTCTTCTGTGAACACTAGTAAAGTAGTGGAGCCTAACTTTCTACCGCTTTTGTTTCGTGCAGATACAGTACCTTTATTTCAGCGAAGAAGCGAACGATGCTCGCCAGTCTCAAGGGTGCTTACCCTGAAGAAAAAACAAATTTCTTACAATCAGACATTTATGGAAGGTTCCGTAGCCTGACACGACTGTGCAGTAAGGCCATGGGGACAGAATACTCATTGATCGACAAACTTCACAGGACCAAAAAGTGCGGTGGCAAGTCACAAGGTGGGACCACGAATTGTAGCTGGAGCCCGGGCTCTATGAAGACAAAGCCGGATGCCATTCCGGAAGGAAACTGTGAAATCGACATAGGCTATACATGAAGAACTCGATGAATTCAGTTAACTGGCTGAATGCGGTTCCGTGACAGTCTGATCTGAGAATACCTCTTCGACTTCTGTAACGCTGTTGAGGGTAACCGTTGATTCGGAGAGAGAAGGTGAGCGCTTCCGTGCAGGTAACTGCTCTACTGTTGAGGTAGTACTTCGTGGTGTAGATGTGGAAAGTTGTTCGCACGAGAATGCGGAGCGCAACTTCGGAGTGGGGGCAATATTCGGTGGGATGGAGGGCTTCAGTCGGGGTCGACGGGGTGGATTGAAGTGTGAACAATAGCAACATCGAAAGGCTGCGTGAAGAAACGGTAAACAGAGAAGATGAAAGGAAGTTTCTAATTTGGTTTTAATGGGAGACTCAAATGAATCGACAGCTGACTCTCTCGCTTAGTATGTTCTTCAAGTGCAAAAAGATCGCCTCACGTTTCAGTTGATATGATATTCGAGATGTTGTGGCATATCTTCTTGAAGGAACACTACTCACAAGGTTGTCGATGAGTATTTTCACTCACAAAAGGATGGTTGTTCACTTCTGACTAAAACGGCCGAAGCACACGTGGGAACAAGCATCAAAGTGAGTTCAGGATTAATCACACCCATATTCAGTCGGACTCGTTCTAGACAGGGCGGTGGCTTCGTCAGTATTGGTTCAAACAGTCTGATTTTAGGCACTTGATGACTGACATCATTCAAGGCATGGCAACTATCAGAGTTTCACGGCTAAAATGGAATACCCCTGAATATTGACTTGGAGCAGACACATGAACGAATGTGTACTTTCCAATAACTCATCATCAGACTCGGACAAATATGGTAAAGTGAATTCATCGATATGTGTAGATCGTCAGCCTGATCAGTATGTAAAAAAGAGCAAAACAGGGGTCAGTCGACTAGGGTACGGATAAATCAATGTAGGCATTTAGGTCACGTGATGAGAACGTTCAATCGCACCGCCTCTGTCCGTTGGCAGTTGTCTGTACCGCAGTGTACAGGTCAGAGTAAGCATCTAACAGATTGCTCAGCATCGTGGAGGCTTCATCATCATCACCATCATCATCATCAATGACAGCAACATCAGTGTTGGCACTGATGCTTCACTGCCGTACA